CCATGAAGGTAAATAGAACATAATGAAACTCAATCAGGATATGGGTGCATTGACCTAAACCCAAGAGATTTGGTTTTTGGTCATGGCTTTTCAAAAACTAGCCGTATGGTAAGTCCCTTAGAAGTTTTAGTCTCTAAGTCTTAGCTTTCTGGGGGTGAAATGAAGGAGTTGAAAATATGACTTCTAAATTTGTTTGCTTTCCTTCAGATTATACTTCTCCTCTCAAAGTCAGCTCTGTGTTTTCAAATAGCCCCTGGAACTCTCCATATGCATGAACTGTAAACACCTCAACTGACCATATCCTAAGCCAAAAAATAATTTTATACCCCTTGCTCTCAATTTTGCCCCTAAGTTATCTCCACTTCTTATACTTCCTTTCCTAGAGAATGACATTGCCATCTACTGGGAAACTAAGCTGGAAGTTTAAAGGCCATAGTATATAGGCCACTATCCTTCACAGCCCACATTCAATTAGTCACCAAACCCTGATAAATCCACCTATGAGATAACTCTCCAATGGATCTCCTTCTCTCCCACCTCATTGCCACTTCTCCAGTTAAGACCAATCATTTCTTCAAATCTGTTCCTAGCCTGTAGGTCTACCTAAATCTCTCTCACACTAAGGCCAAAGTAATCTTTTCTTTTCTTTTTTTGAGACAGATTTTTGCTCATGTTGCCCAGGCTGGAGTGCAATGGTGCAGTCTTGGCTCACTGCAACCTCCGTCTCCCGGGTTCAAGTGATTCTCCTGTCTCAGGCTCCCAAGTAGCTGGGATTACAGGCACCTGCCACCAGGTCTGGCTAATTTTTGTATTTTTAGTAGAGACGGGGCTGCATCATATTGGTCAGGCTGGTCTCAAACTCCTGACCTCAGGTGATCTGCCTGCCTCAGCCTCCCAAAGTGCTGGGATTACAGGTGTATAATCCCACCACGCCTGGGCAAGGTAATCTTTCTAAAGCAAAAATATGAACAGGTCACTCAGCTGCTTAAAACTTTTGGTGGCTTCCATCAAAGAATAAATGGCTTTCCAAGAATGTGTATAATTATTTGTGTGCAAAAAGGAGTTTTGATCAGGTGAAAGGGGAGACACTGCCTCCTATGGGAAGTCCTGGATTGTGTATCCTTGCAGGAATGAAAGAAAAACAGATCAAAACAATGAAGAAGAGAAGAGAATACCAAATATTGAGTGTTCACAATGTAGCAAATACTGTACTTTAAATACACTGTTGTTTTAACACTCAGAAAACATATTAGGTATCTTTGCTCAGGTTTTCAAAAATCAGACTCTGAGATGGAGATTTGTGTATGAAAAGTTGACCGAGGAGTGCCCATGATATAATTAATACCTGTGAGAGAGTGAGGGAAGTAAGAGTGAGCAGAGGGAGAAGTTGAGCTGTGGATGCAGTTGCAACAAAGTCCTCAGCTGACTCAGTGAGGAGCCTTTGAGCTGGAATGACCCTCAGAGCTGTTGCAAATTGAGGCAAAAGGGGACTGGACTTTTATATCCTTTCATCAACCAATTGGCTCAGTTTGATGTGGGTTCTGGCTAAGGAACTGGCTAAGGGCAGTTCCTGGGAAGGAACTCAGCTGAGAGCTGTCAGCCACCAATACTTCCTGCATGGAAATGACTGCTTTGGTCTTGAGGGGGAGATCTGAACAGCACATCATAGCATCCACTATGTGGGATAACTTGTAGTGCATTATTTTATAGATAAGAAAACTGGTTTTCGCCAACACCATGACTTATCCTAGGTCATACAAGTAATGAGCGAAATCCCTGTGGCTCTAATTCATATTTGTCTTCATGTTCCTTTAGCTATATACATACAACCATGCAATGATAACCTTTTTTGATGAAGCTAGCAGAAGAAAAGAAATAACTAAAATCAGAGCAAAAATAAATGAACCTGAGACCAAAAAAAAAAAAAAAAAGCCTCACACAAAGGATCAAAAAAATAAAGTTGGTTGTTTGAAACGATAAGATTGATAGACTGCTAGCTAGAATAACCAAGAAAAAACAAGAAAAGATCCCGAATAAGCACAATCAGAAATGACAAAGGTGACATTACAATTAATATTGCAGAAATACGAAAGATCCTCAGAGACCACTATGAACAGTTCTACGCACACAAACTAGAAAATCTAGAGGAAATGGATAAATTCATGGAAACCCATAATCTCCTGATTGATCCAGGAAGCAATTGAAATTATGAACAGACCAATAATGAATTGCAAAACTGAATCAGTAATAAAAAGAAATAACTACCAACCAAAAAATGCCCAGAATCAGACGGACTCACAGTGGAAATCTACCAGAGGTACAAAGAACAGCTGGTACCAATCTTACTAAAACTATTCCAAGAAATTGAGGAAGAGGGCTTCTTTCTCAATTCATTCTATAAAGCCAGTATCATCCCGATATCAAAATCTGGTAAGGGCATGACAAAAAAAGAAAACTACAAGTTAATACTCCTGATGAACACAGATGCAAAAACTCTCAACAAAATACTAGCAAACTGAATTCAGCAGCACATCAAAAAGACAATTCATCAGGATAAAGTGGGCTTTACTTCTGGGATGCAGACATGATTCAGCATACACAAATCAATAAATGTGATTCACCACATAAACAATTAAAAACAAAAACCGTATAATCATCTCAATAAATGCAGAAAAAGCATTCAATAAAATTCAACATCTCTTCACGAGAAAAGCCCTCAACAAACTAGGCACTAAAGGAACATACCTCAAAATAATAAGAACAATCCATGACAAACTCACAGCTAACATCCTATAGAATGGGCAAAATTTGTAAGCATTTCCCTTAAGAACTGGAACAAGACAAGGTTGTCCACTGTCACCACTCGTATTCAGTAGAGTGCCTGGAAACCCTAGTCAGAACAATCAGGCAAGAAAAAGAAATAAAAGGCATTCAAATAGGAAAAAATAAAGTCAAATTATCTCTGTTAACTGACAACATGTTCCTGTACCTAGAAGGCCCTAAAGATTACTCCAAAAGGCTCCTAGGCCCGATAAAGAATATCAACTAAGGTTCAGGATACAAAATCAACATACAAAAATCAGTAGCATTTCTACACACCAATCACATTCAAGCTGAGAATCAAATAAATAACTCAATCCCATTTACAATAGCCACAAAATATAAAATACCTAAGAATACATTTGACTAATGAGGTGAAAGATCTCTGTGAGGAGAGCTACAATACATGGATGACAGAAATCACAGATGAGACAGCAAATGGAAAAACATTCCATGCTCATGGATTGGAAGAGTCAATACCATTTAAATGACCATGCTTCTCAAAACAATCTATGAATTAACAGAATTATTATCAAATTACTATCATTTTTCACAGAATTAGAAAAAAACAATTCTAAAATTCACATGGAACCAAAAAGAGCCTGGCTAGCCAAAGCAATCCTAAGCAAAAGAACAAAGCCATAGGTACCACATTACCCAATTTCAAACTATAGTACAAGGCCATGGTAACCCAAACAGCATGGTACTGGTACAAAAATGAACACATAGATCAATAGAACAGAACATGGAACCCAGAAATAAAGCCATAAACCTATAACCAACTGATCTTTGACAAAGTCGGCAAAAGTGAACAATGGGGCAAGGACACTCTATTCAATAAATGGTGCTGGGAAAACAGTCTAGTCATGCGCAGAAGAATGAAAGTGAACCTCTACCCCTCTCCCCTTATACAAAAACTAACTTGAGATGAATTAAAGACTTAAATGTTAGACTTCAAACTATAAAAATCCTAGAAGAAAACCTGGGAAAAACTCTTGCAGACATTAATCTAGGAAAGAATTTATGACTAATATCTCAAACACAAATATAGCAAAAACAAAAATGGACAAATGGGAGTTAATTAAACTAAAGAGCTCCTGGACAGCAAAAGAAAAAAAATCAACAGAGTAAATACAACCTACAGAATGGGGGAAAATATTTGCAAACTGTGCATCCAACAAAGGACTAATAGCCAGAATCTATCAAATCAACAAGAAAGAAACAACCCCATTGTGTTAGTCCATTTTGCATTGCTGTGAAAGAATGCCTAAGACTGGGTAATTTATAAAGAAAAGAGGGTTTTTTGGCTCATAGTTCTGCAGGCCATACAAACATGGCACCAGTATCTGGTGAGGCCTCAGGAAGCTTACGGTCATAGTGGAAGGTGATGGGGAGGAGGCATGTCACATGGCAGGAGAGGGAGTGAGAGAGATGCCATGCTCTTTTACACAACCAGTTCTTTCATGAACTCATTATTGTGGGGCGGACACCAAGCCATTCATGAGTGATCTGCCTCTATGACCCAAACACCTCCCACTAGGCTCCACCTCCAACACTGGGAATTACACTTCAACATTTGGAGGTGAGAAACATCCATTTATATCAACCATTAAGAAGTGGGCAAAGGACACGAAGAGACACTTCTCAAAAGAAGACAACAAGTGGCCAACAAACATATGAAAAAGGCTCAGTATCACTAATAATCAGAGAAATGCAAATTAAAACCACAATGAAATACCATCTCACACCGGCTAGAATGGCTATTCCTAAAAAGTGAAAAAATAACAAATGTTGGCAAGGATATGGAGAAAAAAGAACACTTATACACTATTGGTGGGAATGTAAATAAGTTCAACACCTATGGAAAACAGTATAGATATTTCTCAAAGTTATTTTAGAACTACCATTTGATCCAGCAATCTCACTACTGGGAATCTACTGAAAGGAAAAGGAATAGTTTTATCAAAAAGACACCTGCACTCATATGTTTATTACAGCACTATTCACAATAGCAAAGTCATGGAATCAACTTAGGTGCCCATCGATAGTGGGTTGGATAAAGAAAATGTGGTATATGTACACAATGGAATACTATGCAGCTGTAAGAAAGAATGAAATCATGTCTTCTGCAGCAACATGGATGCAGCTGGAGGCCACTATCCTAAATAAATTACACAAAAACAGAAAATTAATGATCACATGTCCTCACTTGCAAGTGGGAGCTAAATAATGGGTACGTACATACAGACATAAAGACGGAAACAATAGACAGACACTGGGGACCCCAAGAGTGGGGAGCAAGGGAGTGGGGTAATGGTTGGAAACTACCTATTGGGTATTATATTCACTATATGAGTGATGGGTTCAGGAGAAGTCCAAACCCCAGCATTGCACAATAACAAATCTATACCTGCACCCCTTGAATCTAAAATGTAAAAAAAAAAAAAGAAACTTACTTGGCATAAAAATTTTATTAGCATAAGGTCAAACTTGAACCCTCGGATTCTTTGGGTGGCAGTATAAATTGTTCAAACATTAATCATTCAAGGAAGAGCAGAGCTGGGCAATAGTGGGGCCAAATATCTAAGATCCCAAATAGAGAACCATGAGTCTGTCAAACAGTGGAAGTAAAGTAAGAGGTGGGACTTGACTGTGGAAGCAGGGCTCAGACACAGGACCAAGTTGAGGATTAGCTGAAACAGGGCTGAAGTGGAAGCAGTTTTCCATAAGACACACCTACCAGTGTAACATGTCAGTTTACCACTGCTATGGCAACACTCAGAAATTACTGCACCTTTCCATGGCAATGACCTGACAACCAGGAAGTTACCACCCTTTTCCTAAAAATTTCTGTATAAATTGCCCCTTAATTTGCATATAATTAAAAGTGGGTATAAATGTGAGTGCAAAACTGCCTCTGATCTGCTACTTTGGGCACACAGCCTGTTGGGGTAGCCTTGCTCTGCGAGTCGTTGTTTACCACCACCAGCTCACCCTTGAATTCTTCCTTGGGCAAAGTCAAGAGCCCTCCTGGGCTAAGCCCCAATTTTGGATCTCACCTGTCTTATGTCAGAAATATCAGGGCCTGTGGAGCCTCAGTGTATAACTCAGGATAAGGAGAGCAGAATCATGCTTATGGCAGGACCCTGATGAGTCTGTTTGTTGACCTAGGCCAGTGGCAAGAAATCTCCTGGGAGCGAGACAACTCAAAGGGCAGAAAGAAGTGGGGAGAAAGAGAAAGCCCTAGGTCAAGGCTGGAGCAGTTTCTGAGAAGACGGGAAAGACTAAGGGAAGTCAAGAGTCAAAAATCCTTAATGATAAGTAGATTAGGATATGGGGCAAGAGCTTAGAAAAAATGTCATAAAAGGAGGGCATAGGACCACCGCTATTCTCTTTCCCTGGTCTCTCCTTATCTGGCCTTCTTGCCTCTAGATATGAAGGGCTGTGATAATGGCTTTGCTCAATAGCATATATCCTGGGTCAGTGTGGTAAGAGGCAGTAGAGATTATATCCAAGTGCTGTGTCTGCTATTTATTTACTGCATGACCTCAAGCAAGTTATTTAACTCTCTAAGCTTCAGTTTCCTCAACTGTGAATCACCTGTGGATAATAGTAAGGTTAAACCTGGTGCTAAGCTCATGGAAAAGTTCAGCTGTACTGCTGTAGAATTCTCATCTTCTTGTAGTCCCATGACATACCACACCTCTGTGAGCAAGCCAGATTAAGGACCCATGTTCTTAAAATAGATTCTTGTATTTTAAAGAGTTCAGTAAACAATATAGGAAGCAACAGTAATTGCTTGTCTTTCTCCCAGCCCTCTGTTCCAGGGAAGGGTTTTCTGGTGGAGTGGGAGTCTCCTCCAGGAGAAATAGTAGATGTTCTAAGCTGCAGGGAAATGTCTCCACAGAAACTTTTGCTGGAGGTTCTGGCTGGAAGAAAATCCAAGAAGGACAGCTGGGTCTCAGAATGCCATCTGAGCATGCAGGACAATATCCCAGCCAGTTGGGGCCCAAGACAAGACCAGAGTTCATTTTAATAGTGTTTATCCAGGTTCTGTTATCAGAACTGGGCGCCATGAGCCGTCCTTCTTAAAGACAAATACAACAGAAAAAGAGGCTGCCTCTTAACTGACTTATTCACCCCTTGGAAAATTTGTTAAGATAAAACATACTCCTTGTTGTTTTAACTCTATTATCTTGTTCAACAAAGCAAAATTTAGAAACAATAAAACTAAAGAAGGAAGTATCTATCTCTGAGTATGATCTTTACTTCTTTTACTCCATAGAACACTTTTTAAAATTTGACATTTTAAACAATCTCTTGATCTTCATTTGTTCCTTTTTCAAGGAGAGATATGAACACAAGGTTCTTTAAGAAATTGTTCTTCATTAAACTAGGCAACAACATGTGAGTCATTGTAACGTATTATGTTAAATTAAAAAAAATAAAAAACTAGGTGCAACCCAGTGACTGTAGTTACAAATGTGCTTCTGGAATGAGTAGCCCACTGAGGCAAGAAAAAACTTCACTTAAGCCGCTGCTTAGTAAAAGGCACGTGGTGTCTATCCCAGGCACCAGCATCTTGACTGTAATTATTATTTGAGATTAGCCTAATTATCAGATGTTTACTTACGATGATACCCAGAAGCATTTTTTTACTTGAAATTTTATAATAAAGCAAAAAGATAAATTGAAGTGACCAAGCCCACCATACAGAATGAGAACCTCAGAGGTGTTGTATACAATGAAAATAAACACTAACTGCATTTACTGTACTGTGTGATTTTGGTATTGTCTTCCAATTCCGCCACATGTGGATTCTGCGAAACTGCATCAGGTGTGGCCAAGGGTTCAGTTCACATTTTCATTCTGTTTCACATTTTCTGTTCTGATTCATGGTTTACATATACAACTCTTCCTGTTCTCTATTATACACTGATATTTTCTTTATGAAATGTGATAGTCTATGCTGAGAAATTTCAATTCTTTACAACAGGGCTTTAAAACACTTATTACATAAAGTCCGTCTCTCTGTCTTCAATTGCTAAAAGGTCTTAATAGTCTATAGTGTACTTTTGTCCCTAATTTATGTTGCCAAGTTATCGTTGCCTCCCGTAGAGATGCCCAGGAATGACATTCATTTGTAGGGTGCCTGAAACATTCTGCTCCATGTCTCTGAGGAGTGTCCTTGATCTTGACCACACAGCAGAACTTCCTGTGCATCCCCAGCTGCAGCTTTATGGGGTTCGCCATTTAATTAATCATGACCACCTGCAGGAAACAATAAAAAGTGATAGACACCAGTGCAAAATGGCTTTCACATGTCAGGTGCTGCAGCGAACATCTTACTTGTATTTATGCCATTTACTTCTCCCAACAATCCTATGAGATTGTTCTTCATCTTAACTCTGTTACTGATGAGGAAAGCGTGGCTTAGAGAGATTAAATAACTTGTCTAAGGTGGGATGATTTATAAATAACAGAACGGGGGCGTGGGCCCAGAACTATCTGACCATGTGGCCAGGGTTCTGAACCAGTCTGCTGCCTGCTGCCTTCTAAAGAAAGGTTTGGAAAACTGCAAACTTGAAAGCAGTTGTGATGGTTAAAAAATGATGGCAGATTTTCCTTTCTTTCTTTTTTTTTTTTTTTTTTTTTTTTACAGGGTCTCACTATGTCACCCAGGCTGGAGTGCGTGGTACAAACATAACTCACTGTAATCTTGAACTTCTGGGCTCAAGCAATCTTCCCATCTCAGCCTCCTAAGTAGCTGGGACTACAGGCATGTGCCACCATGCTTGGCTAATTAAAAATTTTTTTTTTTTTTTTTTTGGTAGAGCTGGGGTCTCATTAGGTTGCCCAGGCTGATCTTAAACTCTTGGCCTCAAATAATCCTCCTGCCTTGGCCTCCCAAAGTGTTAGGATTACAGGCGTAAGCCACTATACCTGGATCACATTTTATTTTCTTTCTTTTATAGACATTTTCTTCAGTGCTATATTACGTTTGTGATTTTTAAAAGAAGAGATGAATATTAGTTAGGGTTCTCTAGAGAAGCAGAATCAATAGGATACGTATACATAAAAAGATTTATTATGAGGAATTGGCTCGTGTGATTATGGAGACTGAGAAGTTTCATGGCCTGCTGTCTGCAAGCTGGAGATCCAGGAAAGCCAGTGGTGTAATTCCAATTCAAGTTTGAAGGCCTGAGAACCAGGGGAGCTGACGGTGTAAATCCCAGCGCAAGGGCTCACTAGGCAAGCGGGAAGCAAAAGGGACAAATTCCTCCTTCTGCCTTTTTGTTCTAGTCAGGCCCTCAATGAATTGGATGGAGGGCAATCTGCTTTCCTGAGACACGATTCAAATGCTGATCTCATCCACAACACCCTCACAGACACATTCAGAAATAATGTTTAATCTGGCCACTTCATAATGCCATCTAGTTGACACATAAAATTAACCATTGGAGGATGGAACCCCAATGTTAAAAAAAGACCACAATTCCTAAATATTTTTCTCTTAACTAGCAGTGTTATCTGATAAAGTCATTAAGTGGTTGACAATTAGATGTGTTATTCTTGGTCAGTATGAATATATCATTAAAGGATGTTTAGAGTCACTATATTTTAAACCAATGGAATGGTTTTCTCATAGTTAGTGCTGGGGCGGGCAGGTAGATGGAGAAGAGGTGAGTGGATGGAGAAGCAGGTGGATTGGGATTCCATCACTGGGCTTCATCTGGAGTTACTCTCCACTATTCACCTCTCTCCAGTGGTTGCAGTTAGAATTGTTCACTGAAGATTTCTACCCTATAGCTAGTTTTTCCAAGCAGCTCAAGTGTCCTAGCTCTTCCCTCTTTCCTGGACTCACTTCAGGTCAGCCCACCTCATTGGTGTGACAGTGCAGGAATCACTGCTTTGGACTGTATAAATGGCCCATGAGTATCTCAGAGGGTCATTAAATGACTTCATGGAGCACACAGCGCCCATTCCCCAGCTGTCTCTGTTTCTCAGGGAGGTGACTGGCTAGTGAAGGACCAGAACTATTCAGAGACAGAAATGAATTCTGCTTCTGATAGTGGTTATACAGGGTTTCCAGGTACTTTGCAAATTATTCTCCTATCTACCACTCTGTCTAAGAAGGCAGACCAGGGTTATGGGAGGCAGTTTTTGGAGCACAGAAAAGATCTGAGGCTGGTGACTCAATAACCACTGTCACCAGTTCCTGAACTCTATTTCTTCCTAGAAGGAGTAGAGTGGCATGGGCATTTCCCTTTCTTTAACAATGTATGCCAGTAAAAAGCAGGCTAGCAAATTACATGACTGCCACATGAGGTCATTTGAAAGGTAGTAGGAAGCACCCCAGTCCTACCAAGAATGCTTCTAAAAATGCTGTGGAGAGAGCCTGTGAAGCAGTGACTCTTTCTTGGTCACAGTCACCCCTTAAGGGACATGAAGAATTCCAAGTCAGTTCAGCGCAGACCCCAGGAAGGGAGGGATCCCCACATATTGGGTCTGGGGTCTGGAAGGATGGAGGAACATCAGTGGAAATGACAGCAGTTTGGAGAGGAAGTCCTCAGATGGCAAAGACCCTCAGATGTCTCTCCACTTCCAGACTCCAGTGCCCTGAAGCAGGTCTGAATTTCTCACTCATGTGAGAAACCTGGTGAGGGCCTTGCAGTGGGCAATCCCAGAACCACAGACAGGATACAGGGAAGAAGGCACTGCCAGTGGGATTTTCATCTCTCCTCCCCAGGCCTGGTCACTCAGCTCATCCATCTGGCTAGGGAGCTGATGGCAGGCATGAACATTCAGCAAAAAGGAGTTGAGTAGAGCCTGAGCCTGGATCTGGGCTAGAGTCACTTCAAAGCCCAGTTTTCTCTCCACTCTCCCCTCAACCCTGACAGCCCCAGCGCCACAACAAGGCTATCTGGTTGACTAGTCTGCTCAGCCTCCATATCAGCCATCTGCCCTGTGGGCTTCCTCATCTCACCCAGCAGGGCGGACCCCAGGGTGTTTTTTCCCAGTGCTTTCCCCAGGCCAGTTTTAAACTCTTCAATCAGGTCTATTAGGAGAGGTTTCAGAGTTTGGGGGAATCAGAAATCAGCATTTCTTTTTCCCAGGTTTTTTTTTTTTTTTTTTCTTATCCAGATAAATATGCTCATCATGAGCTCCATGTGGCCAGGTGATCTGGTCTTAGTGGCCCTTCTCTGTGGGGCCAGTTCATTTTATAGGGGACCTCTGGTCAGAGGCTATGATGATGATGACCATTGGCTGGGAAGCCAAGACACTCAGGAACAGTCCAGCCCAGACACTGTCAGGCAGGTGATATTGGCACCTATAGCCATAGTGTCAGGAGAGAGAGTGGCAAGTCTTAGGGACACATTTAAGAGTATAAGAGGTAGGAGATGTCTTTGATGGATAACCCATTTGAGTTTTTTTGGGGAAGGCTATTTTCCACAGAAATGTAGTCCTCCTCACTCTCAGGGTGGGGCTCTGCATCGCCAAAGGGAAAGAATGGTGCTGAGCCACAGACATGGGAGGCTAGGACAGGAAACAGTGCTCACCTAGGATTCTCCTATTGCCCACGCTGTGGCCTGTGCCAGAAGGAATGTTTCACAGATAATGAGCCATTAGCCTACACGAGCCTGAAGACTGGCTAAGATTCTTGCTCGGTATAATGCAAGTGGTATGATGAATGGATAGAACACAGACTCTGGAGTTAGATAATCCAGGGTTTGAATCCAACTCTTGCTTTTTTTTTTTTTTTTTGGCTCTGAGCCATTGAACAAGTTATTTAGCAGCACTATACTTCAATTTGTAAAATGGGGATAATTATTCCTGCTTCTTACTGCTACCAAGATTAGTGAAATAACACATGTGGAGACCCCAGGCATCCAGGGAGTTCAATTAGCAAGATTTCCTTCCTCCTTATCCTCTTGAGTATTCATGGTAATATATACTCACCAGGAAAAAGGAAAGAGCTCTGATCAGTGTCAGGATTCCCAAGTTTGGTCCAGATCCTGCCTTACAAATGCCACCAGCTCTTTCATAGGGCTGTTAGGAGGATCAAATAAGGCCATGAATGTGAAGGCTTTTGAAAACAACTTTGTAACTACAAGGCACTATCATCTGTGTATCTTCTGTTGTTGGTCTATTGACATCTGCTCTTAATAGCTGAAGGAAGCAGCTCAGTATACTAGATGTACTAACTGCAAATCTCTGGTCAGTCACATTGTCCCTCAGGTCCTGTATTAGTTTCCTATGACTGCTGTAACAAATTATCACAAACATGATGACTTAAAACAACAGAAATTCATTCTCCTACCATTCTGTAGGCCCAAGGTCTAAAACTAACATATTGGCAGGGCATGGCTCCTTCTGAAAGCTCCAGAGGAGAATCTTTCTGTGCCTCTTCCAGCGTCTGGTTGTCTCTGGTGTTCCTTGGATTGTGGCTGCATAGCTCTAGTCTCTGTTCTGTCTTTTCATATGGCCATCTTCTTTGTGTCTCTGTGTGTCCTTTTCCTATTTCTTATAAAGATGCACTACTCTCATTGGATTTGGGGATCACTCTAATTCACCCAATATAATCTCATCTCAATTCTTTCCTTAATTACATCTGAAAGATCCTTATTCCAAATAAGGCCACATTCAGATGTTCCAGGTGAAGAGGAATTTGGGGGCAGGGAGGACTCTATAGAATCCACTCTAGAACCTCAGAACCTTCATCTAAACCATTTCTGACCCTCATTCAATGTATGTTTTTATTGAGTTCTAGATTGCACCAAACAGGAAAACTCTTCAGATAGTGCTTACCATTAGCTCAGTTTTCTGTGCAGAGGGGATGCAGGATGTCAGAATGGAGATGCCTCATGGTGAGGCTGGAGAAGGGCTAATTCTGGAAATGAGAGGAAGGGCAAAGCAAACAAGAGAATAAGTGTCTGTCTTTGAGAGAGAATGGTTTGAAATGAATAGACAGCATGCCTTCCAGGAGCCGTGCAGCTTGAAGAGAGAACACCAGTCTTGAAATCAGACCTGGATCATTTGTTTCCCATTTTTACAGGATCCCAGTATTCTCACATCATTTAGTTATTTCAACTGACATTTTATGAATATGTAGACAGTATGTCATTCACTATTTGGATTCTCAGTTATTGTAACAGTGGTGTGTTGGTAAATGGTTAACCATAATGAAAAATAATGTATGCATATATGTAAATGAGTTTGTTACAAATTTTGCTTATACGAAGAATGTGTAACATGCAATTTTTAAAATACAATTTATTGCATTTTAGTAAAATGTACAATCCCCTTTATTGTAAATTCCATATAGCCACTGATCTCACAGGCTGCTTGCTTTCATATTGGCTTAATTCATATCCACAGCCAAACTGTGGTTACAATTGACAAAGGAATGTAGCTCCAAGATGAATGTTGGTTAATGTCTTTTTTGAAGTTAAAGAAATGTGAAACAACAAAAACGTGTGTTGGAACATCATTTGCTCATCAGTGACAGTAGTGACTTTTTGCTGAATCAGATGATAGTTTTTGAGTACTGGAAAAATGTTTCCTCAATTTTTTATGCTAATCCCAAAGTAAGGGCCACAGTCATGGCACACGTTTAAGTGTACTCTGCATCATTATGTTTTCTCTATTACTTTCTTACATTTAGACAATCAACAAAACAATAAAGTTCTGATTTATATTGCTTGCTGATTTCCATGACATAAACTCTCACCATGGCCAGTTTCAAGTTCCCAACATAATGCCATTGAATGCAGAGTGGGGAAGACAGGTCCAGAAGCACCAATGATCCAGTATTTAATTTCCACTGTAGACACATAAGAGATGTCAATTACCTCAAGAACATAGATATCAGTAATGTCATAAAATAATTAAGAAACAATGAGCTTTGAGATTTTATTCCCTCTGTTTAGTATAATTTATTTAGTTGTAAATTTCTTTTAAAGGCAGGGTTTTGCTCTGTTGCCCAGGCTGGAGTGCAGTGGCTATTCACAGGTGTGTTAGTCCATTCTCACACTGCTATAAAGATACTACCCAAGACTGGGTAATTTATAAAGGATAAAGGTTTAATTGACTCACAGTTCCACATGGCTAAGGAGGTCCCATGAAACTTATAATCATGGCAGAAGGCAAAGGAGAAGCAAGGACCTTCTTCACATCACAGTAGGAGAGAGAAGTGCAGCCAAGAGCAGAAAATATTGCCTTCTAAAACCATCCGATCTTGTGAGAGCTCACTCACTGTCTTAAGACCAGCATGGAGAGGAAACTGCCCCCATGATCCAATCACCTCCCACCTTGTCCCTTTCTCAACACTTGGGGATTATAGGGATTACAATTCGAGATAAGATTTGGGTGGGGATACAGTGGCAAACCACACCAACAGGCATGATCATGATAGTCCATTCTCACACTGCTATAAAGATGCTACAGCCCCGGGGTCTATCATGGGGAGGGGGGAGGGGGGAGGGATTGCATTGGGAGTTATACCTGATGTAAATGACGAGTTGATGGGTGCTGATGAGTTGATGGGTGCAGCACAGCAACATGGCACAAGTATACATATGTAACAAACCTGCACGTTATGCACATGTACCCTAGAACTTAAAGTATAATAATAATAAAAAAATAAAAATAAAAAAATTAAAAAAAAAGATGCTACAGCCTCAAACTCTTGGACTCAAGGGATCCTCATGCTTCAGTCTCCCAACTAGCTGGGACTACAGGCATGTACCACCACACCCAGCTTAACTGTAAGTTTATATAATTTAATTTAATTTTATATGTTTAATAATGGCCATGTTCATCAAGCACCTCACAAGCTTTCTGAAAATCTATTTTTTATTTTTATTTAAAAAATATTTTTGTAGACATGAGGTCTCGCTATATTGCCCAGACTGTTTTCAAACTCTTGGCCTCAAAGGTTCTCCAACCTAGGCCTCCACAAGTGGTAGGGTTACAGGCGTGCCACTGTGCCCATCCAGATTCCTGAAAATTTAACAGTTTTATTAATTGGTACATGCTGGTTCAAGCACACACCACTGGGAATAGTTTTGAGGAGGACAGTTGAGTGCTGGGGAAAGGAAGGAAGAAAACAGTGAGGATAAAGAACAAGCTCACATATCCCACCAACTTTTATTACCTGATCTCCATGGGGAGGCCCATCAGAGAGTGCCTATGACCTGTTACAATGAACTCTAAAAACACTTCCCTACTCTTTCAAGTCTCCCTGTGAGCATTGGTTACATTTCCAGTGTCCCATTCTTATAGTTTAACTCATGAAAGAGGGTGGGATCTTCCTTCTGCCAATACTAGTTCCTTCTCCTCAATGAAAAGTTAGACACAAACTCTAAAATAAAGGCAACTCCCAGAATACAACACAGCCCCAGTTAAATTAAAAAGCCTTTTATCCAAGAGACAGGCAATAACAAATGCTGACAAGGATGTGGAGACAAGGGAACCCTTGTACACTGTTGGTGGGACTATAAGTTAGTACAACCACTGTGGAGAATGGTTTGAAGGTTCCTCACAAAACTAAAAATAGAGCTACCATATGATCCACAATCTCACTGCTCGGTGTACACCTAAAAGAAAAGAAATCAGTATATTGAAGAGATATCTGTATTCTCATGTTTATTACAGCACTATTCACAATATCCAAGGTTGGAAGCAACCTAAGTGTCTATCACAGATGAGTGAATAAAGAAAATGTGTTACATATACACAATGGAGTACTATTCAGCTAAAAAAGAATTAGATCCTGTCATTTGCAATGATGTGGATGGAACTGAAGATCATTATGTTAAGTGAAATAAGCCAGGTACAGACAGACAAACTTCATACGTTCTCACTTGTGGGAGGTAAAAAGTAAAACAATTGAACTTGTGGACAGAGAGTAGAAGGATGGTTACCAGAGGCTGAAGGGTAGTGGGGGTTGGGGAAGAAGTGGGGATGGTTAATGGGTACAAAAAAATAGAAAGAATGAATAAGAACTAGTATTTGATAACACGACAGTGTGACTATAGTCAATAATAATTTAATCGCACATTTAAAAATAACTAAAAGTATAATTGCATTGTTTGTAACACAAAGGATAAATGTTTGAGGTGATGGATACCCCGTTTACCCTGTGTGATTATTACACATTGCATGCCTCTATCAACATATCTCATATACCCCATACATCTATATATATATATACTGACTATGTACACACAGACATTAAAAATTAGGAAAAAACAAACACAACAAGGAGACTGAGCTGGAAGGATGGAGCTCTGGGATAGATTTGTCCTACATCCCTGCCTGGGAAGGAATCCACACACATGTGAGAAGACAAACTAGGAGCATGGGACACTAAATTATACCACATTGCACTCATTGGGGTCACAGGGTTTCTTCCAAGTGACCCGCACTTGCCCATCCCATCTCTCTGTGACAGTGGCACCCGCACCAGACTACATGTTGAGGTGTTATCTGAAATTATGAAATAAAACAGAAGTAAGAGGTCTATGAGCTCATCAAAATGCAGTCATCTAAGTTCAGCTGTGAACTGCCAAATTTGAGGAGTGATCTGACAAAACATCTTTTCTTTGCAATTCAAGAAGACTTACCGGAGAGAACTGCTCAGATAATCTGCAACATCCGGTTCCTGGAGGCAGCTAAGGAATGAAGCAGGAGTGCATGTTTCTGCCCAAAGACGGGGTTTGGCCGAGGTGACTACACACCCCCTTTCCTGGCTCCCATAGGCTGAGTGCCTGGCTTCTTGAGAAGCCTGCTTCTTGAGAAGAAAAAAGTGATTTAAAGCCTCATGGGAGATGAGCAATCCTCAAGACACAAGCAGAAAAAGTCCCGGTGATACAGGAAGCGAGTTCAGGAACCTGCTGGTTCCTGATACATAAATTAGACAGCAGAGGCAGCACTGCATGACACGAAGCTCGCTCTGCCTAGCGTCTGTGAGCAGCTGCCAGGCTCTGACCAGGACCCCTTCCTTCTCCTCACTGGCTGATGGATCCCAAGGGGCTCCTCTCCTTGACCTTTGTGCTATTTCTCTCCCTGGCTTTTGGGGCAAGCTATGGAACAGGTGAGTGTTCATCTGCCTGATGGTTTGAGTCCCACGTTAGCTGCCTGGAATCAGCATATCTTCGTGGATGGAGAGAAGGTGCAGGGCTGGGGATTGTGTTTGGTCACTCTTCCTTAGGGACTGGCTGTCAGTTTCAACTGCCTCTTTCAAAGAGGAAGGAACATTATGAGTTCCTGGGCCCTTGGGTTTCCAAGACTCAAGCCCACCAACCCCTTTTCCAAGGAAATGAGGAGCTCTAAGCCAAAGGCTCCAGTCACTTCTCTGACCAGTCTTAGGGTGACAGGCTCTGGTAGAAGTCCTGGTTGAGTGGTTGGTTTTACATGGGCATTTTTCTGGCAAAGATCCAGCCTAGAGAGACTGAGCTGGATGGAGTGAGCTCTGGGAGATGATTTGCCCTACATCCCTGCCCTAGGAGGGAATCTGTGCCCATGCAGGCTGACAAACCAGGAGCATGGGTCAACAGAAAGCATTGGCTAGAACGGGAAGAGAGAGTAGAAGTGAAAACTCCAGGCTTTTGGCTAATAACCAGCAGTGACCACAGTGTGGTCATACTGGCGTGTATTTTCTTGGAAGAGAAGGTCCAAGAAAGCAAGAGGGAAGAAGTTGGGATTTCTGGAGCCTAGGACTGGTTACAGTATGTGGGAAATGCAAATTGGGGACCCTCAGAGAGTAGCTCCAGCAGGAAGGCCAGATAAGGGCTACCTTTGGATCTGGACTCTGTTCCTGTCTTTCTGGATATCTTCTTCCCAAGGCAGGCTCTTGCTTTCTGTTTAGAAGTATCAGGGCTATGAGAAAAGGTATTTGAGAAAGAAAAAGGCAAGCAAGAAGTGGACTTTGGACTGCCTGTGTGAGTGGGGTGAGAATCTCTTTCTGCTTATTTGTTTAGACTGTGGGAGGTAGCCTGGAGTAGAAGAGGTGGCATTACGGACAGGGGGGGAAATCCTGAGGCCCAGGGTGTTTTAAGCTTGGGGTTTTCAAGACCGCAAATCCAATATGGACTTTTCCAGGAAAAGCACCGAGATATACCAGGGATGTGGGGGTGCTGCACAATGGATGTGTCTTTTACCAGACAGCCAGATGAACAGGGCTTGCTCAGCCACTTCCTTTTGGAATCTGCAGACCCATGGGTCATACTTCCCAAGGTCTAGGAGAGAGAGAACTGAGCTCAGGGCTCAGAAAACCAAACTGAACCACTTTAAGTGGTCACAGGGAAAGTCACGCTTCCCTCGTTGCAACCAATTTGTGACTGCACCATTTTTGGAGCACTTCTTGGTGACTGTAAGGAGTGATGGTGCTGAACTGTGAGCTGGACTTTTCCATCTCTGTGCTTGCTAGCCTCTTGGCCAGCCTGGCCCATAGCATCTTAGGCACTGCTGACCAATAGCTGGTCCTATTGAGGCTTTGGAAGTCACCGGTCAGGGAGAAGCAGCCCAGCCCCACAAGGCAAGTCTATCCAATCGGAGGCTGCTCACTTCATTGCATGTTTTGTTCTTTGAATCTTCACAAAAGCTTTTCAGTGTTTTTATTTTTAAATACACACCCTTTTGTGAAGCCCCAATAAAACCCAGGCAGAAATGCTTTGCAAATGCGGCAGGTTAGTCATGACAGATTTGCCCAAGCAAGAAGCTTGATACTTGTAAAACTGGCACCCACTCCCATTCTCATTTCTACTCAGCTCAACTTCTAATTCCCAGTCAGAATTGTAAACATCAAAAAGTCCACATGTCCCTTCCCCAAGTAAAGTGAATTTTTCATTTCCCCCAATGAGATTTGTTTTAATAGACTTTATTTTTTAGAGCAGTTTTAGGTTCACAGCAAAGTTGGACAGAAAGAACAGAGATTTCCCATATACCCTCTGCCCCATATATGCACAGCCTCCCCTGTTATCAATATCCCCCACCAGGGTGGTACATTTGTTATA